GGGTCAATTTTTTTTGGGACACCCTGTATATCACCTGACTTCCAAAAAATAATTTTTTGTAGGCCAGTCAACAAGAAATACCTTGATTACATATTTCTCTGTGATTACACGCGCTGGGCTAATCGAGCTGAAGTCTCTTTCATCAAAAAGAGCACCACGGACTTTGCCATTTCGTTTCGTATCCTCGAATGGGTGAAAGGTATGGATAGTTCCTTACCACTGATTGAACCCTAGACACGCTAACCCACATATTGATACCCCAAAAAAGCACCGATGACTATATGAAAATAATACTAATGATGACCCCGCCGAGAAGCAAAATAACGATCGTCGGATTGGCGAGAAAGTAAGCTTAGTGCCTTATGCCGACCAAATTGACCCCTTTTTTCCAGAAAAATCTCCAAATCTTCTTATCCCGATTTGTTAATTGGCGCGAAAGTTGATGCCAACCAAACGGTTTCTCGAGATTCTGGCCCAATCATTCAAATTTACGCGGGTTCTGATCCCGGCATGAGCAGTGCAAATCTATTAGCCGAGCGACCGTAAGAATCCCCACCGGAAATAATAACTTTTTTACGGCAGAATTTTCGTTCATACCCAATTTTTCTCGTCGGTCCTGACGATCGTAAATTGGGAGGAGGCCCTGGAGATGGAACTATCGATTTGTTTTAACACCGAACACGGTATTGCAAATACACCGCAATCTCAGGGGCCGCAGTTACGACATGTAATTCCGGGGCTCTTTTCGAGCAATAGCCCCGTTTTCGGTCCAAATTCCCCCATTTTTCGTTGCGGCCCAAACCATTGCTTCGGTTGCCGTGAATACGTCCGAGTGGCCTTCATGAAAAACGGATTTAGATTCATCGTCGATAGGGGTCGAAACGTCGGCTGCCATCCTCTTCAGCAGCCTCCAATACCCGTGGATTTTTGCAGAGAATGAAGACGTCACGATTGAATCCCATCAGATTACCACAAGTATGACAAATTAAAAATTTTCATGGGTTGTTAAGAAAGCGGTGTTTCTAAAGTGTCTTTATTTCAGGTGCGCTGGATCATGTACACTTTTTCAACTCGACCGTTCGTTTGACGACGATTCAGGGAGGAGCGGTTCAACTGCATCTTAACAGCCCCGACGGTGACGAATATTTTACGTAAGTTTTCTAACAAAGAATTACCAGGAAAAGTCCAGGCATTTGGTTGCCCTTTTTACCTTTCTCCCGCTCTTTCATTCTCTTTATCTCGCTCTCTCGCTCTCTCGCTCTCTCGCTTTTCTTCCCTTGCTATCTCACTCTCTCTTCCGCGACATCAGGTAGTAAGTATTGCTTGCACCAGGATCCTAGGCGTTACAGACTTGATTATGACAATCTTGGCTCCGAGTTTACCCTCCTTGCCAACCGTTTCGAGGTAACCTTAAGCTCTACTCTCCCTTACCCATCACAGGCCATTTTCAACCCAAACCTAACAACCGACGCGCCTCGGGGCTATACCCTCGAAATTTTCACCAACTTCGTGGAGCGCTACGCGGACAACTGTACTCGTTTCTACGAGCTGACCCCAGGCGCACCGTATGCTGCCGTCAACGAGATTTCGTTTGAGGACTTGCGAGTTTAATAGGACGTTGTGAGGAATCCCTTATAGAGAAACCCCGAATATTTGCGTGGGCACCGCCGGTTTTCCGGATGCGCAGAGGATTCGAATCACATTTTGTGTTGCTGGCACCAAGACGGGTTTTGATGCGAATGGGCCAAGCTCAAGGAACTTTGCCGAATGCCCGGAACAGTGAGAAAACAGAAGGGATTTTTGAAACTTTTAGGACACCTATCACCTGGCTAAATCAGTCGTGTTGTCAACAGACAATCGCCATAAAAAACGGCGAATTTTATGCGATACACGACGAGGCGCAGACAAGCTGGCTATTGCTACTACTGCAGATGGAAAGTGTGATACCGGGTAGATTTTCGTTAATTTGAAAAAAATGGAGTTTCTCTTCAACCGCGAAGCGGTTTTTAATGGTTTCTGTTAGAACAGAGCAGAAATATGTGTGTTGAATTCAGCCAACAGTAAAATTCTAGGAGACTACATAATAACGCCGATATCCGGCGTGGAACTATACCACCGCACCTTCACCGTCCCGCTAAATACCAAAAACGCCACGCAACTGGTGTTGATGTGTCGATATAATTTGGACTTCTGGATGCAGTTGTTCTATTTTCAATGGGTAATTTGCGCTATTGACAAAGATATCACTCCTTTTCAGACGCATGGCCCAGGCACCTGCGAATATCGCCTGTATAGCGGAGCCGTTGTAAAGGATGAGCCTGAAAAAGCCCTCATCACTTTTAGGCCAGTTCTAGGCTCAAAAAATTAATTTTTGAAGCATTGAAAATTCGCATCAACTTCCCCAGTTTTAGGGACAGCGATACGTTCTACCCGCAACTCCTTACTGGAGATACCTTTTCAATTTTCGTCCCACCCGGCTGCACCCCGACACTTGTCGTGCGCGAAATCAGTACGTCAATGTACTTTTCCGCCTGAGTACTGTAGCTGGGGCACCGTTGCAAGTCCCAAAAACCCGCATTTTTCAGATTTGGACAATAGAACCTACGAGCAGTGTCGCGGAGACGTTTTTAACATCGGTTTTGGGTACGGGGACCCGATGCATCTTCAATATTGGTGGACGGTTAACTACGAATGGACATGGCATTGTTGTAAGTCTAATTGCGAATAACTTTTTCCGCCTTTTGCTGGATGAATGAAAACCCATACATTTTCAGTTACTACCGTAAATTTACAATTTGAACTTGTGGATTTGATTACTGGCGAGCTATCCATAAACGTCCGAGACGAGAATAATCGAACGGTTGATGGCGGAAGGTAAAGAACTTTATAAAATTGGAGCCTTGTATGTTCAAAAGACATTTTTAAAGTTGCAAAAGCATCATAGGAAAAGAATTATAGCTTCCAAAAGGCATAATTCGTAGCTTTCTGTAAATTCCGAAAAATCCTGTATTTTCTAACAATGTCTAAAGTTATAACATTGAATAGCATCACTTCCACAAGGCCATAATTGCCAAAAGCGCTTCTTCAAAAGCTGTTATTTTAGGCATTTGTTCATTTTGACATCCAAAAGCGGATCTCCAAATTATAAATTGCACAAGCACACTTCGAAATAATGCCTTTTCGTGACCATTTCAGTCTTGACTTCCGCCCTGGCCCCTCAACATCTCCCCGAAATATAAGTTACGCCGGTGTCACTGCAATTACGGTCGGCGCCTTCAGTCTAAATTAGCGTAAAGCCAAAATTTTCAGGTAAAATGGACAAATGGGGTGCCAAGTCCGCCGGGGGCCCCTACCGGTTTCCTATCACTTATCCACCTCGACCTACTGCTTCCAAATACCGTCCCACCAGCCACCACCAGCCCTTCGAAAAGTTGTCCCGGTTATTTTGTGCCCAGCCACTTTTTGGCTGCGTGGATTACCATCTCATTATTCCGGTCATAAATTATATAAACTTGAAAATTTGCAGGTTCGAAAATTTCAGACTAGGTAAAAAATCAAGGGTAAAAATCGAAAAATGTGAACCCTGAAAAGTCACATTTTAAGAAAACAAGTTCCGTTTCCTGGTCATTTCCCTATGTTTTCCTGAAATTTTTTGAAGATCTACACCAACACTTTTGTTGTAAATGTAATGACGCAGGCGTGTGACGGCTTATTTTTTGATAACGAGACCGAGGGGGACAGGGTCGACCAAACGGGAACCTATCTTCTTCTTCTCCCCCTCAAAAAAAGCGACCCCGGAAGTCAGTCGATGAAAAGCGGCTTTATTCGATTATCAGCAATTCCTTCATGCTACTTGGGATTATTTTATTGCTTCTTGTGACATTGGTGCAAATCGGATTTTGTGGTGTCGGTCAGAAGGTGTTTGAGTTGACGCAGGAGAATCCTTCTTACGCGTTTCATGGAACGGCGCTCAAGATTAAGGGGGTATAATCAACACCTTTTGGCTCATAATTGCGTTATTTAGAACATTACCATTGTTGGTTGTAAAAAATGTCACTTACTGGTCACTTATTCGGTCAGAGGATGTAAGGATGAACTGGGCAAAAAGGTATATTAAAAAGTGAGATAGAGAGAGAGGGAGAGAGAGAGAGAGAGAGAGAGGAATGAGAGAGAGAGAGAGAGAACTAGAGAGAGCAAGGCTGAAAATTGCACATCTATCTTTCAGAAATACCCGAAGGAAAAGCCGAAACGCGTCGTCTGTCACGATAAATTACCATTCACCTTCAATTACCAAGATCTCGGCGTAAAGGGGTGCAAAAAGATGATGTATACCATACTTTTACGGCCCTCCTTAAGCCATCTTTAGGCCGGTCGACAAGAAATTCCTCGATTTCATTTTCCTGTGTAGTTACGTTGTAAAAGCCGATCAGGCTCTCGTCGGGTTCCGCAAAAAGAGTACAACAGATTTTGCGATTGCGGTACGGGTGCGAGAATGGGTTGATGGTACTGTAAAACCATTTATCATTTGATAACGGTAATTTCAGATACGTTATTTTATGGTTTATTACCTGCCAAAAGTACCGATGACTATATGAAGTATTTTATTATGTTGTTACCTCCAAGAAGCATTCTTACGGTAGTTGGAGTAACGGAAAAGTAGGTTTTTATTGGCTGAATTTTTGTCGTCGTTTATTTTAGAAAACTTTCAAAATCCACTTATCCGGATTTGATAGCTAATGCAAAATTCTACAGGAATCAAGCCGTTTTCCAAGATTTGGCGTATTTAATTGCAGTGTTTGCCGGATCGGATCCGGGCAATAACACTCAAAATTGTCTATTGGAACGACCGTACGTTTTAAGTCGGAAAACAACTTACATGACTTGCTTTTCAAAACGCAAACTTTTAGGATCCTCACGTCAAACCAATTTTTTTCCAATGTAATTACCTTTACAAATCGCTACGATCACCTAAACCTTGAATTTTCCGGGTACTTTAATACGGAACATGGTATGACTTTATACCGAAAATTAAACTATATAAATCACTCCAGATGCCCCTGGGATAACGATTCAAACCCCGTCCTCCATCTTCTTCAGCAGCATCCAGTATCCCTGGATTTTCGCCGAAAATGCCGACGTCAAATTTGATTCCCGGCAAACCACGACGAGTAGTTTAATTTGGAAGTTTAATCCGCGAAAATCGAACGCGGAAACACGGTGTCACTTTTTGCATCAACAGTTTTTCGCAAATCCGGTTGCTGACAAAAAACCGGCCGGCGAAGGGATTAGGTTTTTTTCGAAGTCCCGATAACGGGTGGATTCTCTGGCCACGAGCACGGAAAGTATCGAGAGCCGAAAAAAATATTCTCCAGAAGCCCCTACCCAATATAAAAAAAACAAGGAAGTAAATCAGGAATACAGTACTTATAGCGCTCCTCGACCCGGTGCACTTTTTCAACTCGACGGTACGGTTGACGGGGATCGAGGGTGGTTCGTTGGCGCTGCACACCGTTGCTCCGGATGGAACGGAAAAGTTTGGGTACGTTGGCAAAAACTACAGCACCCAAAAATTAAAATCATGTTAAAATTAAATCAATTGCTACCCATTGTTTATAGACTTAACTTCGATAATGTTGGCGCCGATTTTACGATTTTAGCCAGCCGATTTGAGGTAAACTATCCCTAATTTTTAAACAATTAGCTTTTTAGGCAATTTTCACGCCAAATCTGACGGTTGATGCACCACGCGGCTATACCCTCGAAATTATTAACAATTTTGTGGAGCGATACACAGACAGTTGCAGTTATTACTACGAACTAACCAAGGAGGCGCCGTACGCAGCCGTGAATATGTATTCCCTTGCGAACGTGTGGGTGAAATTTCTGAAGTTTTTAAGGCACGATTAATCCTTTAGATTATAGCCTTATATCTAAGCTTGAAATTTAGTGAGACACCAAACGTGTGCGTGGGAACATCTGGATTCCTTGACACGCAGGCCGTAAGAATCACATTTTGTGTCCGAGATCAGAACGCGGGTGTGTATTTGAATCGACGCCTATTCCGAATGACGGAGTGCCCGAATCAGTAAGAATTCGAAACTGCATTTTTAAACTATAATAACTACAGATCCAACCTGACCAATCTTAATCAGAGATGCTGTGAAATGACAGTAGACCTGGCGAATAGAGAATTCTATACTATACAAGATTCCGCGCAAGACAACTTTCTTTTGTTGCTGTTACAACTAGAGACGACCATTCCAGGTTGTACCCTTAAAGATGATGGAAAAGGTCTTTTAGAAGTCTTTGATATCATCCCGCTTTCGGCGGTCAACACGTTCGACAATCAGTACCTTGTTGCGGCAAAGGATGAAAATACCACGCAGCTGATCGTCATTTTGCCTTGGAATGTGGAATTTTGGACGGAGCTGGTGTATTTGCAATGGGTAAGCCGATTGCATTTGAGTGGTTTAATAACGGCGTGCAGGCGCACGGTACGATTAACTGCGAATATCGTTTGTATAGTGGCGCTGTTGTAGAAGATGATCCCGAAAAAGTGTTGATGACTTTTAGGTATGAATTTTTAAGGATCGTATTACTTCAATTTATACAGATTATGTTAGTAAAAGTATGCTTTAGAGACGCGGAGACTTTCTACCCGCAACTCCTCACCGGTGATACCTTTTCGATTTTTATCCCGCCCGGATGTAGCCCAACCTTGGTCTTCCGGCAAATCAGTACGTCAGACTTCAAGTTACGGATTTTTAAGCATCAGAATCAGATCAGAATAGTATCGCCAGGTTACGCTTTTCCAGGCTTGGTCAACCCGGTTTTGCAACAATGCCGTGGAGAAGCGCTAAATATTGGGTTTGGCTATGGTGACCCGATGCATCACGCCTATGACGATCGATTTTCGAGCTACGAATGGACTTGGCATTGCTGTGAGTGATTAAATTCATATCAATTAAAACCACTCATTTAGTCGCCCCGGTTGATGTACAGTTTCAAGTGGTTGACCTAATAGCTGGTGAACTCTCCATCGAAGTGCAAGACATCAATAATCAAACAGTTGATAATGGAAAGTAAGCTTTAACCGTTTCTAGAGATGCTACCGTATATTTTGTTTAGCGTCGTCTTCCACCCAGCAGATTGGCAAACGCAACAAAACACGAGTTATCAAGGAGTGACGAAAATTACGGTAAAAAAACCGTAACGTTGTTAGTTTCGAAAATTCTTAGGTAAGATGGAACAATTCGGATCAGAGTCCGCAGGGAGCTGCCACTGGTTTTCTGTCCAGAATTCATTTCGCCCTCCAAACGCCAAATACACTGATATTTGAACCAACCACTACATCACTTGAAAATTGTACAAAATCTCTTCAGTCTTTTTTCCCTTTTCTTTTCTTAATCATGCTTGTATGGTGCGTAAAATTATGAATTTGTTTATACATATTGGCATGATAAAGCGAAAAGTACATTAGGACCGATTGGTGCTTGGGATTTACTGTAAAAGGAGTATCTTGCCCGGTGAGCGTGGTAAGCACGTGTTGACGTGATTCCAGCCAGTATTGGCCGTAAATTGAATTTCGGCTGAATGGCATAGGCACCCAAAATCTCAGAAAAAAAAAGCTGGCTTCATGGTGCAATGAAATTGTGGTTGGTGGTCAAACACGAGCGTGGAAAATAAACCGTAATGTATCGCATAGTCAAATAGTTTTATTGCGGCGATTTAACATTGGCGGAAGCCGTGCTAACCTGGAGTTGTCCACTGGCCGTAGCTGCGATGCTTGATGGTTCCTAAAAACAAAATATGACGATTTTCTAAACTACACTCGGGTTACCGTATATTTTGCATGTCGCCACTGCAGCACCCTGATGATCGCTTTTCTATACGGACCGACAAAGTACAGCGAAAGGAATGGTGACAATACCGGGACCAGGCCGACTATCTAAAACTTTTGCGTATTCTGTATCGTTTGAGCTCATTTTTTCGCCCAAACGACATTATCAAAATACACGCTAAACTTGCATTACGCTCAAATTCATAGAGAGAGGGTTCACCGCCAATTTTTTTTTTGGATCGAATTCCGCATTTTCCCACCTGAAAGACCAAATATTCCAAGAGCGGATGGTGTACAATTTGCAGCTGCTCCACAGAATAGCAAATGACGGCCACAGAATACACAAGGGGAAGGCCGGCTTGTAAAACAAGAGCCTAAAAATCGGCTAGTGATTTTCGGGGTCGAGATATTGTATCAACCTTTACAAGCGTTCGGTGGAATTTCTTTGTCTTGCTGCTCATAACACCCTCCTCGAGCGCTTTGAGAATTTTGCTACGGAAAATGGTAATCGTGATGTAGACTGGAACGCAGGGTATTGTTAACCAGAGAATTGTGAATAGGATGAAGAAGTTTAGAACGGAGATGTGGCCAGATACGGTAACGGTTTCGTCTAGAGTATGGTATATTCATTAGCTAATAAAGATTTACCAGTCAGGTTGTAGCTCGGAAATTTTTCTATCATCAGCTGACGCACCATGGGTTCTGGATCGTCAGCGAATGAGAAAGATACCTTAAAGAATACTTTGAAAGTAAGTCTATTCCTTACCGCTTGAAAAAGTGAGGGTGAATATGCAAACAGGCAAATGAGAATTGAAACGAGAACACTTGGTGATTGCTTAAATTTTGACGAATTAAAAAACTATTGCCATCAACTGACTTTTTTCAGGATATACCACCGATACCAAAAAGAGGGTACTAAGGAGACGAGACTGTGAGCATAGCAATGTAACATGAAAGAATAGCCAATATAACAGGCTTTATAACCCCAGTGCTGGCAGAAACCGTAAGAAATATACGTCAGTGACTTTCCATCGGGGATGATTCTGAAACAGTATTCGTTAAATTTGTAGACACCTAAGCTTTGAAACGTGTTTATTAAGTTTGTAGATACCTAGGCTGTTGAAAACTGGGGGTTTTTTAAAGTTTACAGGCACATAAGCTGTTGAAATCTTGGGCATTAATTCTTAGATACTTAAGAATTAAATATTGTATTGTAAGGTCAGTAAATGACTTTAAGGTAACTATCAACTATAATAATTTAGCTGTGGTGTCCGTCTGTCCGTCATGTCCCGAATTCAACTCAAAGGGGAAAGGAGCTAGAGCTTAGCTCTCTTCGGAATCGGATAAACCGTGGTCAGAAACCCCAAACTGATAAAAAAGTATGAAAAAGTTTTAGTTTAAATTATTAAAATTAACTTTGAAAGTTTTTCCTTAGTAAAAGGGGTGGAGGGACGGAGGTTGGGGTGATTTTGGACAATGAGCCAGGTCGCGCGCGCTTCGTGGATGAAAATTTTGAAGGGAGCCATTTCATTTCCTTTTTTTTCTCCCACGTATCCGGTCGTTCGTTATTTTTGTTTTTGAAGTGGATTTCGGCTATGAGGGGTTTCTGAAAACATCAGCATATGTATTGATGAAAGTAGCGAGGGATGTGGTGGTATAGAATATGGACGGTAGTCCGAAGGCCAGTCGATTACAGTCGCGAAGCGGCTGTAATCGGCTGGTAAGGTGTAACTTAAATAAAATCCAAATCCAAAAATTCAAAAACCCACCTCTGCATCACAAATATTGCCAAAAAACAAGCTGTAAAGTCGGTGAGCGCAAAATTCGCAATAAAAACTGCATATTTTCTCAAATTCGGCGGAGTTTTAGTGAATATCAATATCAACAGTATTCCATTAACCGTCAATCCAATAATATTGAAGAACCAGTGACAAAATTCGTTCAAAAAATCGACGTGCATAGCCGGAGGTTTTCCGGAAAACTACTGGGGGTCGCGGTGCGGGGGGAAATTCTAGGTTGCCCGGTGCGGTGGCGCGATTCCATTAGTGGGGCGCGATAATTGAGAATGTGCTGTGTGGTCCGGCCATTCACGGAAAAAGTCTAATTATAAGCGGAAAATGGGTGGAGGATGTGTGTATGTGTTGCGAAGAAGTATTTATTACGCTAATGGGGTGTCGTTTTGGACATGGCGATTTTGTGGGCAGTTTCTAGAAGTCAACAAGGGTGCTTTGGGTGATTCTATAGCTAGAATATGTACAAAATCAGTTCCTTTATTAAACCTGCACGTCTGACACTAAACACCCTTTTATTATAATAATTTTGCTGTGGTGTCCGTCACGTCCCGAATTCAACTAATAGGGGAAAGGAACTAGAGCGTAGCTCTCTTCGGAATCGGATAAAGCGTGGTCAGAAACCCCCAAACTGATAAAAGCATTACAAAAAAATATTTTCTTTAAATTATTAAAATTAACTTTGGAAGTGTTTCCTTAGTAAAAGGGGTTCGGGCGGAGGTTAGCATGATTTTGGACGTAGTGAGACAGATCGCGCGCGTTTCAGGCTGAAAATTTCCACCGGAGCCATTTCATTTCTTTTTTTGCTCCCACGTATCCGGTCGGTCGTTATTTTCGTTTTTTAAAGGGATTTCGGCTAGGGGAGGTATCTAAAGCCATCAGGAAGGTATCGAAGTAGTTTCTTAAGGGGATTTCGCCTAGGGGAGGTATCTGAAGCCGTGAGCGTCGTTAGTCATGGAGGTAGGCAAGGATCTGGTGGTGTAGGACATAAGGGTAGCCCGAAGGCTAGATGGTCGCAGTCGCGCAGCGGCCGGAACCAACTGGTTAATTTATAAAGGAGCAGAATCGTCAAAATTCAGGTCGTACAGGTGTAGAAGTGGGGGTAGGGTTGAATGCCTTGCTTCTCTGCCGTCGCTCCGACATTGGAGTGATCCTAAATACCATTTAACCGATGAATCAACTTTGCCCATCCAATTATACTATTAGGTTGGACCATAAGTTCGTACAATCGAACTTCGAAGATTTCTTTCTAAAATTTTTGTGGGCCGATATCACTGTTTCTTTTCCCCCATTTTCGCGGAGTTTAATAGTATGTGGGATAAAATTTACAAGATTTTAGGCGCAGTAGTTTTTATTATTTTTTGCGTTTCTCTAGGAGGCGTCGCTAATTTTTGACCCGGACATCTTTCATGATCACCATAACTTTACCATAGTATAGAGGCGCCAGCAAAATAATACTTTTTAGCTACTATTTAGATGCAGAAATATGCAAAAAGATAAATCGGAACTGTTTTGGAAACAGCGGCCCGCAGTCTTTTTCGAATTTCTAGTAAATTAAGCTGAAAAAATTCTAAGGGAAATGGATGGTGATTTCGTCCCACCGCTCGACTAGAGAATTTGATTGTGCATACGTCACTCACTAAAACATTTTTTTTCCTGAACCGTTTTCTGGAATGAAAATATAAAATACTGAAAAATATTGCACGAACTTTCGGTCCAACCTAATATTATACTCAGTACAAAGACGTCCAACGCCCTCTTTGCTTTCAATAAGGGCTTCATTTTCCTCATCACATTCACATCCTTGTCTAACAAGGGAAGTGCACAACCGGCCCACGAGAAATCGACACGAGACATAGTGGATCTGATAGAATCGGACACGGGGATTCCGAATCTGTAATCAGAATTTGCTAAATAAAACGGAGAAAAAAGTTATGAAGCTTCAAAGTTGGTAAATTCGCCCAAAATCGAACCTTTATGGGCCTGTAAAGGCCCAGGGAATGGAAATTTGCCACAACCCATTAATGCATCTTGTTCAGCAGAAAAAGCGCTTTCGAATGAGCTATCTTACTTCAAGTTTACGATGATTTCGCGAAAATCTCTTCTATGAACTTGACAGGCCATACCCTTGCCTGTGAATCCAAAAAACTTTTTTCAGTGAATTGTTTGCAAATGCTACGTATTACAGCTCATTCGAAAGCGCTTTTTCTGCTGAACAAGATGCACTAATTCTTTTCTCCTCAATTCCGTTCCCCCGGTTTTTACGGGCCCTTAAAGGTACCATTTATGGTGATTTGGCCGACTTTGATGCTTCATAACTTTTTTCTCCGTTTTATTTAGCAAATTCTGATTACAGATTCGGAATCCCCGTGTCCGATTCTATCAGATCCACTATGTCTCGTGTCGATTTCTCGTGGGCCGGTTGTGCACTTCCCTTGTAAGCTTTTCAAGGGAATTGATATCAACTAATTTATTCCGTTAATAACTGTGATTGTCAAAAAATATTTTCCTATTGTAATCAATATTATCAAATGGCGGAAGCAGTGCTGGCGGGGAGTTGCTGACTCGTCGCAGTCGCCCCAACGCTCGAAACATCCTAAAAGTATGTTTTTCGGCAGGAAGTTCTCGAGAGCTTACCTTATAATATTTGCTCTGCGTGTTCTTGAGGCCTCGGCTGATCGCTTTGCGGTAGGGAGCGACAAAATACAGTGACAAAAAGGGAGAAAATACCGGGACGAGGCCCACTATCTAAATGTTTAGGTGTAAAGTTTCGTCTGACATGAAAGATCCTGCTTATTTTGCATCATTACCTGAAAAACTAGATACTCCAACACTGGGTGGTGCATAATTTGCAGCTGCTCCACAGAATAGCAGAATACGGCCACAGAATACACGAGAGGCAGCCCGGCCTGAAGCACGAGGGCCTAAATGATCAAGGTTCGGTATATGGCTCATTAATGACGAGATCCTATGTGGCTATCTTCATCGACCTTTACCTTGACAAGCGTCCGATGGACCTCCTTGGTCTTGCTGCTCATCACCGCCGCTTCTAACGTCTTCAGAATTTTGCTCCGAAAGATGGTGATCGTGATGTAAACAGGTGTGCATGGTATTGTCAGCCATAAGATTGTGAACAGGATGAAAAAGTTGAGAATTGAGACATGGCCCGAGACGGTGATGCTATGATCTAAAAGCGAGACGTTTTCGATAGCAGGTGGCACCTTGCCTGTCAAGTTGTAGCTCGGAAATTTTTGGATCATCAGCTGGCGCACTAATGGCTCGGGATCATCGGCGAAAGAGAAAGATACCTTAAAAGAGATCGTTATCGATTTATGTTACTTAAAAGCTTCAATAAATCGTTGCCAATCCCACCGCTTGGAAGAATGATGGCGAATATGCTAATAGGCAGACGCCAATCGAAACGAGAACCCCTGGTGAGGGCTAAAATTTATGTGATTTCGAAGTAGAGAATCAACTTACTTTTTTCAAGATATACCACCTATACCAAAATGATGGCACGAGAGACACGAGACTGTGCGCATAGCAATGCAGCATGAAAGAGTAGCCAACATAACAGGCTTTATAGCCCCAGTGCTGGCAGAAACCGTACGAAATGTAGGTTAGTGACTTTCCATCGGGGATGATTCTGAAATCGCGTTTATTAAACTTGTAGGTATCTCGATTTCTTGAAAATGTGTTAACTACGTTTCTAGATACCTAAGGCTTTTGAAAGCCTGGTTATTAGATTTCGAGATACCCATGATTTTGGAATGCCTTTAGACTAGAGACACATAGGCCTTTAGTTGCCTCAGATTTTTGTTTTGTTAGTAGTCTTAACCTTAACATCAAGTTTCTCGATTTCCGTGGGTTATAAACACCAACCTCTGCATAACAAATATAGCCAAAAAGCAAGCAGTAAAATCCGTAAATGCAAAATTTGCGATAAAAACGGCATATGTCCTCAAAGTAGGTGGGGTTTTGAAGAATATAAGCGATAGCAACAAGGTGTTAACTGATAGCCCGATGGCGTTGAAGAACCAATGACAAAACTCGTTGATAAACTCGACGTGCATTTGTAAAGCTGGGGGTTTGTGTGCAAAGTGTGTAGGTCGGAAGTTCAAGGTGGCCAGCCGCACAGGTGCAATGCGATTAGGTGGCGGAATGGAAGGTATGCGGCCGATATTTATCCATTAGCTTTTGCTGAAAAAAATTGTAGAGCGTGATTGCAGAATCAGCTGTATGGTCTTAATTGGGCGTGTTGGACTGTTGCCCTAGCGCGGATTTTTTTTGGTGATTTTGCCTACGGTATGAATTTTTGAATGAATTTTTATGATTTTTTTTGGAACAGGAAATTTTTGGCTAGCTTTTATATATGCATAAACTAAAGATGTGTGCGGAATTTAGGAAAAACACACAATTTCCCTTTTCCTAGTAAATCAAGGTCTGAGCTCTCATTTAAATTGCGTAATCGTTTAAAATTATGCTATTATGAAGCGGTGAAGGCATTGTGTGCCCGGCCCCGAAAAAGTAGCATAATTCCGAGACAATACCTTTCCGTTAAGATCAGCCATGAGAAAGCAGGTCTTAGCTTTCTCTTTAACAACTTGGAACAATCTGCACACCTTCCGTTCCAAAAATCCAATTACCTGCAGGACGGCTGGTACTGGCCAAAAAATCATTCCCGTCGGGGGCCCAACGTTGCCGATTAATTCGCGGAAACGGGGGGGGGGGGATTTGTTTGGTAAATGTATTTGTCGTTTACGTGCCAGATCTGGGACCGGATGGATGAAGAGATGCTTGAAGGGAAATCGCTTAAAGCGCCCGTTCAGGGAGGGCCGTGTACTCGTCCCAACGTGTACACCCTATGGACGTAGGGACCGCGCGCACGGCCTGCCCGTGCTGTGACAGACCATTCCCCTCCTTTCCGGGGTGGGGCGCCACTCGCCCCCTTGCCTGGTTGTACAGGGCGGCGATTAAGTATTGGCGCCTGTTTCAAGCACGTTTTTAGGAGCTAAATCGTAGTCCGCAGAAAAGAACGTCCTTGAACGTGCCCTTTAAATATGCAAATCCGAATAGTTAGTTTTGTTGGGCTTCAGCATTACGGTCGACACAAAAATTGTAAGGAATAATCACGAGCCACAAGAAAATGCTTACCAACAAATCACAGAATGTTTGGCATGGTCAATTTTATTCATGTTCTATTCATTTTTTATTCATGTAAATTCCTATATTTATTCATGGAAATCAATATTCTGGAAACGGGATGATGCTGCGGGGATGACTTTGTGATTCCCCAGTGGGCCAGCCGCCGGTAGGCCCTGTGGTTAGTTTTAGGTTAATGAGATCAAACTTACCAGAAATTTGACGTTTGATCGGCTTAGAATCGCAAGAGCACATGTCATAAAGTCCGTAAAAGTGAAATTGGTGGGGTAAACCGAGTAAGTTTTCAATACTTTCGAGTTTCATTAAAAAAATCCTATCCTATAAGCGAGAAAAGTATGTCTGTTTTCTGTGCAGCCGATTTCTCGGCCGTCAGGCCGAATTTTGCCCTGATTTTTGGCATGGAAGTGGAGAAACACATCCTCTTTATAGGCATTTTTTTGTTTTTCGAAATTCCCTCATTTAAGGATTTTACAAGCAAAATAGTGGTAAACCCTTAACATTTTGACCAAAAAAAGGTTTGTTCAGAGGATATCTCGCGATCCAAAAGGAATTCAGCGTTAATCTTTGGAAGTTAGATTGAAAATCGAATTCTCCCGATATATAATTTTGCGTTTTTTCAGATTTTGTAAAATAAAATTTTTATCTGCGTTTTTCTAAAAAGTCCTTAACAAAGTGGGCTGCGCGCCGTGGTGTTCAGTCCATAACTCGATGCCCATTTGGAATTTCGGGCTGGAATTTGGACAAATTATGTATTCGATAGTGGGGATCACGCGCATCTTATTATCGTTAGAAATTTTCAGCAGATTCAGACTCAAAGATCGAGTTTTGTAAAGTGACCAGGAGGCCACCCGCCCGGGATCATTGGGATGCCCTTTTCTTTGCCACCCCTCCCCCAGCCTTCCCCAGAAAGAAGAGGCCTGTCAGGCCACCCGTTCCCATCGTCCCTGTGGTGTAGTGGATTGGCGCCGGGTCTACTAAACGTATGGTCAGGAGTTCGGGTCCTGGGAGAATCCAACTTTTTGCTTTTTGGTAGTTTAGCAACAAAACGTATTTCTAGGCTCTCGATGTGCGAGGTTTAGGCCTGACCGTCGCTCTAGCGCCGCAGGCCGAAGAAAAGGAGCTTGAACCAGACTCTTGCGCCGCAGGCTAACGATGGGTCCTTGGCCCAGGCTCTCGCGCCGCAGGCCAAGCTTGGGGGAAAACCAGTAACTAGCGCCTCAGACCCAATTATCCTAGCGCAACGCTGTCTCTGACGCCGCAGTCCAAAGAATGGATCCTTGACTCAGGTACCTGCGCCGCAGACCCAAAAAAAGAAGGTATTCAAATTCATGGTTTCTGGACGGGGTCCAGTGGAAAAGGGCCGCGAAGCGGTCTTTTTCCACTGGTAAATCAATAGGGATGGAATTCACTAATGAACCGAAGACATTAAATGTTCAGTAGAATATCTCCTTGACAACATTGACGTCGATTTTCACGCTTAGATTTGACAAAAGTAAATCTTTCGGGTGTACGGCAAAAATCAGGCCAGACAACGTGGAGAAACACTTTTAATGGGCACTTTCGGGGCGCCGCCGGGCGGAAGTACGACCAACATTGTCCAATTCCCTAGAGGGCTAAAAAGCAGCTGCCCTGAAAATAGAAATTTATAGTTTCTGTTTTGACCGTAATCCGATCGGAAAGCCGAAGCTGGGTACAATAAAATACAATAAACCTCACCGCACTTCGCGCGTGAAATTGTTGTTTTCGTGAAAGATATTCTGTTAATGCCAAGATTCACTTCCAAGACCGATTCGAGTCCGATTCGGGCAATGAACATCTCAACGCGGCTTTTCTCTATTTGTTTTCTGATTTATTAGCGCAAAATAAGCGGTGGTTGTCTGTTGTCCGCCGTGCACTCAATGTAAATAACAGCTACACACTTATTGGTTCAGCAAAGATAATTTTAAATTATTTCATCCTAATCAAAATACAGGATGACCACGAGCCGACCCTACGTCGGTGGTCACGCCAAAACTTAGACGAATCTGGGAGGTCTTCACGGGCGACGTTCGGCCATCAACGTTCTAAAAATTATCGGGCATCAACGCAATTACATTTTTTAAGTCGCAGACGGCAACAAAAGTTTGTTGAGGTATAGTTTAATGCATCATTTAATTAGGTAAAAAATTTATGTTTTTTTTGCTTTATCTCTCTCCCCTCGAAGCCTACCTGTTTCGTCGCATAAGGTAATGAGCGTCTCCAAACCGTTCGTATACACCAGTTACGGTAGGGGAGCACGAAGTAGAGGGATACATAGGGCGAAAGTGTTGGGACCAAACTTATCAACTAAAATGAAAAATGCATGTCTGAGTGTTCTGATCTACTCAGTATCTATTTTAAGGGTAATTTTTCCACTCCACTCCAAAACACACCGTTGGTAGATCTTCAAAAATTTATCCCAGAAAAAAGTCTGACAGGTGTGAAAACAAGGTTTAATGATTTGGCATCAAACTTGGCCAAGCGGTGTGTTATTTTATGCTCGATACATGGCAATCCCTACCTGAAAAACCGTAAACTCCAAGAAAGGGTTGTGAGCAATATTGAATTGACCCACGGTATAACAAAGTAAGGCCACCAAGTCGATTAGAGGTAGTCCGGCTTGGAGGACGAGGCACTAGGGACGACCTCGAAAGAATCTATCGAATTCGTACCTTAACTAAGTGCTTATGGATTGCCCTCGTCCTCGCGCTCATTGAAGCTTTCTGTAAAAGTTGATGAATTTTATGTCGTAGTATCGTGACGATAAGATAGACTGGCGTGGGCATCATTGTGATCCAAAGGACAGTAAATAAAGTGGCGAAATTGAAGATATTGACATGGCCGGATAACGTTAAGC